ATAACAGAAGCATGAATGAGGATTCAGGATGGACGACTCAAAAGAAGGATAAATATTCTGAGGTGCAGAGAAGATTATTGCAGGAATTGCCGGGCATAGTTTTAGCCACGACATACATCCCGATGACCTTAGCTAATACTAGGGAGCTGCGAACACATATCGAGATATCACACAGCATATGGATTGCAATTCGCAAAAAGAAACCAAGAGTATTGCAATTTTGCTAAGATTGTGCAACTTCTTTTGACTTGGATAAAAAACCTGATTGTCCATTGACAGTTTCTATTTTACTCGCTGAAAACTGTGAATCTGAGACAAAAATGACCACGTAAATTTCATTTTTTTTTTCATGATTTCAGTAATTTTCCTGCAAATGATGAAATTGCACAATCTTAGCATCGTTGCAATGCTTCTGGTTCCTTTTTGCAAGATGAGAGATCCATATAAGAGAGACACTTATCGATGGTGGAAATTCAAAAGTGCGTACCTTGGTTGCGGTGTTTCAATAACTCCGCCCCTCTTTTATTCTTTAAAACGAGGCCAACCCAACATCATGGCTTGAAAATTCCGAAGATTTCAGATAGAGAGGATACATCAGCGAATTCTTGAGGAAAAGTAGTTCATTAGTTTTCCTTGTAGAAAATTAAGTATGACGGGAAGTCTGCAACGCCGGAAACCGAGATAAGCATCTACCGCCTTACCGAGTTTCATCATCGATATAATCATGCATTTATAAAAACATCCTTTTGTAAGGGAAATCAACGGTAGGTATGTCATTACTGAAATGGTCCAAAAAGTTACGGTTCCTTCCGGCTGCATTCAGTCCATTTGTACCATGGTTCATGAATCATAATGAAAAATTGGACTGCATTTTGCAATTTGGAACTATAAATTCTGGCTCATCTGAAAAAACACTTATGTGCATAGGGAAACCAATGGCACATTCGCTGGTTTTAAACCGGGCCAGAATCTATAGTTCCAAATTACAAAATGCAGTCCAATTGAACATGCAAAAACCGGGTCAAACACATGTGTAAATATTTTCCATGGGGACATTTACTACATTTTCAAGAGCATAGTAACCAACGGGTGTGAGGCATGGCCGATGAAAAAGCAGACCTGGGAGATTTTCGAGGCAAAAGAGATATGGGCTTCTGGCGGGGATCCGCTGGTATTTCCAGAAAGGATCGCGTCAGAAATAAGACGGTGCGGGAGATCATGGATGCCAAACAGACCATCGTGCATGACATTATGACGAAACAACTTATTTGGTTTGGTCATGTCCAGAAAATGGCAGGAGACAGGTTGCCGAAGAAGGTCCCTGATTGGGTTCCTCTTGGGAGTAGGCGCAGAGGGCGTCCAATGAGAGATTGGAGGGACGGGATTGAAACAGGAATGTTAAGGTGCTCGATGCCGGAGGGGTTCGGTTCGACAAGGGGCGGTGGAGGTTAAGTGTCGCAGAGCGCCAGGGAGTGCTATAATGCGACTTACATGTAAGAACATTAGCTATGTTTATGCGAGCCTCTTAACCTAACTTCAATCGAAACCTGAGTTTGAAACCAAGGTTCAAATCACGGCATAAACGATACGGAACTAACGAAATGTAGGTTTCCGAAATTTGTGTTTGAAACCTTATTTTACACTAAAGACTAGGTTTTCGCACTCCGCATAAACGAACCGGAGGTTGAAATTAGTTGAAATTCGACTTCAAATGCGATTTTCAGGTGCGCGATCGGCAATATGGCGGATTTATTATCATACCGTTCGTAAACAACTGGTGCTTATCCCACGATTTAGCTTTAATTTTGCCATTATTCAAAATTTTTATAATCATAATTTTACTATAATTGTTGCTTAAGCACTTTTACGTGATTCCTTCAGTTATATGTGGCTTACTTATCCTTATTTAGCTAAACGTAGGACGTTATTTTCTAGTGAAGGTGTTTAGTGTCAGATGGAATCCAGGCTTATTACTGCTTTTTCAGATTATTCTTGCAACTCTAATCAACATTTTATGACTACAGAAGCAAAGCAAGCAAAGAGCTTTACAGGCTACAATCGAGTAATAGCCTTACCCACCAGTTCATCATCTGCGGAGAACTTTTTTACTGCATCCGCACGATTTGCCTAGGATTTCAAGATAAGGCACCCTGCTTCCCTTTAAGTAGTGCACCGAATTTTTTCATTTCAATCTACCGATTAAATCTAAAATCTGATCCAATCAGAGCTGCATAGCTCTTGAATTTGTGTGTTATCCGTGTATCTATTTCCTGGTTGTCCTACTGAAAGTGTGACTCCAGCCACAACCGTGACCTGCTGACTTATTTCTTTGATCCAATCTCTAGTAAATGATGACTCAAATTCTGAAGCCATCATTTATTGAAACTAGTTCAAAGTTATTGCTCCAAAGTATCGTCACTCTTCTCATACTGATGCAGAAGGAAGGAGATTCTTCGGTGAGTGCTCTGTGATCCAAGATTTTCAATTTGAGATAAGAATAAGGTTTTTATTGAGGCGTGTAACAATTTTTGGTCGTTGAACCACTTGTCATAATTGAGCTTTGGCGTTAGAGATGCATCAACTGTGGAAAGTGGCTCTGCCTGTGCAAAAATATCTTGTGACAGCAGTGAATGTTAGTAAATGCGCTTTACAGATAGACTGAGAGCTCCAGATTCCAGTCTACCTGAATAATTAAATTCAGAAGGATTTTTGAATTGAGTTCATATCGAATCTCAGTGGGAGAATAATATACAGTCTAAGCGAAAGAATATCAATGGTTAGGTTGGGTTTGTGTCTTAGATTAGTGAAATGCAATGGCAGGTTCTGAAATCTTGTTTGTCAGTTGCTCTTTACATGAGTCACCTTTGAAAATCAAGTTTAAGAAAAACACACATAGGTAGGCAAACAGTGGTAGGTAGCTTGCCTATTTTCTCCTGTCTTGCTCATGGACTCGGAGAGCAGTCGGAAAGAGGGGTGAGAAACAGGATTTCAGCGCGTGTCTCTGGGAATGTGGAAATTCAAAATTTGTGAAGCGTCACCAGTTTGTTGAGATTGTCACCGTCCGTTGCCTCAAGAGGATTTAGACGCTTCTGCTTCAGCGATACATTGTTGACCTATCAATATCTGTTTATTTTGATCATATCTTGAAGGAGGAATTCCCATATGTATATCCCGATTCTTTATTTGTTTCACTACAATAATGGCAGACACACAATCTTTACGACAGCATGGAGTGAAAGTTCGGTGCTTTACTGGATTAGCACTCCTACACTTTCAATGCCTATATCTAAGTACCTATTGTAAGATCATTAGAAGCTCAATCAACAACATGATGAATTTCTGCGCCTGCCATAATTATTTTTAACATGACTAAAAATTACCTATGGCAACTTTTCTGAACTCAGAATATAAGCTCGAGCATGATTTGGAGGGTTGTTGAGATTAGGTATTCATTCAATTTTAAAGATGAACGTGAAATGATTAAACATCTACTGTCATTTTTCCAACTGTTGCTCAGAAAGTCAGTAAAGGCTTTTCTAGTGAAGATGAAGCCTCCGCTTATATATTGTGGAAAAATTGAACATACACAGGATGAATACACAGGAATTTATTGAATCAATTCATAGTGGAAAAATGAAGTATAGCTTGTGAAAATGGCGCCAACATGAAATTCAAGTTCAATCGAAAATATGCGCATAAACAGCGCCAAAATCGGAAAGTTTGATTTCCCGCGGAAGTCGGGTTACAGCGCCCGCATAAACCCGACGGAGGAAACTTGCATTACAAACTCGGGTTTCGTGAAACCCCGGTTTCGAGCCTCGCATAAACGTAGCTATTTACTACAAAGAACTTGGAAAGGAATGAGACACTCCTACTCCGTGCAGCAGTGGAAATACCTTGAGCGCGTCAGCAAATCGCAGGATGCTGACGTTCGTTCAAACCGCAGGAATGCAGAATTCGATTTTTGGCGCCCGTTGCAGTTAACCGATTCGATTACTGGCTACAGATCGTCACGATGGCGGGAGCGGATACGCAGAAGAGGCGGAGTAGGTGGCAGAGGATGAGAGCTTCCAGATTCCATTCATGCCAGGGTATAACAGGGGTGGAAGGGGGGGGAGGGGTGTCGCGCTACCGGCTAAACGAGGTTGCGCGCTGCGCGCTTATAGGAACTAAGTAGCATGGCATGGCAAAATGTTGACTTTCTTAGGGGATTTGTTTTCTATAAATTCTGAAGTATCAAACCCAAACCGCGGTATCACTGTAAAAATAAGTCTCTTGGATCCTGAGTCCAGACGCATGAAAAATTTGAGCAAAAATAGTACTCTTGATTCAATCGGGTTTTTGCTTGAATGAAGAGCCAAGCCTCTTTTTAAAAGCGGATTTCCTTTCGATTTAAGCAAAAAACCGATGTATTTTTCTAGTCAATTTTTTTCAGTGTCTAGCGTAAACTCCGAAGAGGTTGGCGAGTAGTGTTGGCAAATAACAGTGCAATCTAAGCGGCTGTCTGTTGTCAACGCCTTCCAAAATACGTTACTTGTCGCAACACACGTTCAGATACACATTTAGATAAAACGGTTGTGTTTTGTCCAATGTCCCACCACTCATGGGTAAAAGTGGTCTTTCGCCTGCTGCTCAACATTTTCCACTGGTAGAAACTATATTTCAGGGGAGGGCGGATAACTATGTATGCAACTTTTGGAAGATAATGAGATTCTATTCCTCGAGCCAGTTATATAGAAAGTTAGCCCATCCTAAATCGTTAGCCATGCAGGCGCAGCTCAGTGTGGAAACAATCCCACCCCACCTCTTGAAATTAGGTCGCATGGTCCCAGTTAAGCTGATAAAAATATTTTTTAAAAGAGATACTTTTTTAGATTTATTTTTTTAAATTTTTTAAATCACTCACACCCAACCCCAAAAAAACTACTCATGATAAAAAATACCTGATGAATAGGCAATATCGAAAGATAAAATAAACATTCATGGATGATTTCCATTACCTGGTGGTTTTTTTGCGGCCAAACATCGCTTTAACGTGAGTGGATAGGCAGCGATTGACTCCATTGACCTGCAAAAAAAGAAAAAAAAAAAAAATGGGTTTTGAAAATTAGAGAAAGAAATGGTACAGTACTATAAAAATGTGCACGAGGTAAATACATTTCGAAAATGCCCATTTTCGTCCTTATTTTGTATCCCTCTTTTCGATTTCTATTGAAAACTAAGTTCAAAAGTGAACCTAAACGCAGATGTGAATTGAAGTTTTGTTGCGCCTTCAATCAAGCAAAGTAGGCCACAATGGCTCCGTGGAGTACGTTTAGTTGTATGTTAGGTTCAAACCTAACTGAGCTGTTTTCCGCTATTTTTACGGCGAAAACAGCGGCTCAAGCGAAAAGAATATAAGAATGTGCACGAGGTAAATAAATTTCGAAAATGCCCATTTTCGTCCTTATTTTGTATCCCTCTTTTCAATGTCTATTGAAAACTAAGTTCAAAAGTAATCCCAAACGCAGAAGTGCATCGAAGTTTTGTTGCGCCTTAAATCAAGCAAGGTAGGCCACAGTAGCTCAGTGGAGTACGTTTAGTTGTATGTTAGGTTCAAACCTAACTGAGCTGTTTTCTATTGCTAGTGTGTCAAAGAGAGCGGTTCAAACGAAAATATTATCAAACTGTGCGGTAAGTAAGTAAATACGAAAACGCCCGATCCCTTACTCCTTTTTTCGTTCTGCTTTGAATCATATTTCGTGTTGGAATGAAACAAAATAACCAACGTTACGGGAAGTTTATTCTCTTCATGAGATACAATTTGAAATTTAATCTTTGAACTTCGTACTTATTTTTTCAGAAATCCAGAAAATGTTACTCATGTACCTCCTGTTTTCATCGGTGGTTTCAATGTGTGGTGAAACTTTAATTTACGTATCTTATCTCGGTATCATTGGAAGAAAGGAGAGTTTCAAGGGATAATGAGATATTTTCGGGTGACTTTTTTGTTCCCAGATCTTACGCAAAAAACAAAATATTCTGCAAAATTTGAGGTTTTCTATTTTTATGGGGCTGAAATCACGACAGGCAAGGGATTGTTTATTGCGCTGAAAAAGTCTAGTAAATTATTCAAGTAATGAAGTGATCAATTATTAAAATTAAAAGTTGTGGAGAATCATCTAGATCTGTGACTTTAGTCACAGGCTTGTCGCTAATGCGAGTAGGATAAACGGCAGTGTTGCTTGACTTCAAGATTTTTTTAAAAATATTTCAATGTTCAGAACAAGATAATCCAACATTTTTGTACAAGATATTTAGCTAACAAGTAGAACCTCCTGGATAATTTATGTACTTTCTTTATTATATTTTGAACCATCAGTAAAATGTGGCTGGAATTACGCTGAGTCTTAAAAATGAGGTACAGTTTTCGGTTTCAGCACCTGAGAGCGATTTGTTATCCATTCCAATCTTATCATTTTCGGGGGTGCGTCCTCAATGATGGTTAACTAACTGAGGCTTAGCAGCTCTAAGTTTTTCAGATCCTGGATCTGCTGACGGTAGCGCAGCATAATGAAGGAGTGTTTGAAGTTCCTACTCGTGCTTTCTGCGTTCCTCTCCCCCTCTCATTTGGCGTTTTTGAGGGAAGTACAGCGTTGCGCAGGGCCGATCAAATCTCATCTGAAGATTTTTTTTTACTTTGCGCCGGGACCTCCAGTTCTCATGCAAGCACTCGCCTCCTTTCTTCATCTTTCATATCGCTTCTGAAGTTGTCAGAATGGGCATTTTATTTTCTTAAGCTATCCTCGTAAATCTCATGTGTACGTGTAAACTTCCTATTTACAGAAACTCGGTTATCTGCACATATTTCTCGGGAGAATGAGAGGAAGAATCTTCTGAAACCTAATTTTGTCACAAACGGGAATAAAGATCACAGTTTCACCAATTGCAAAGATTATAAACTGGAATGGACTGGGGAATAGTAGGTACGGCAAGGAACAAATGAAACGAGAGTGGGTACGGAGACAGGAATTCGGGAATGGGTTGATCAAAGATTACAGCAAACGAACAATTTGTGTAATCTTTATTCCTGTTAGTGACATCCACAAGCCGCGTTTTCTCAACTCTCTCTGTAAAGGGACTCTACAAAAGAGATGCGATTAGAAGCAGGCCCCGACCAATCCGATTGCGTATCGAGGCGTAGGTAAAGTGATCATTAACTCATAAAATATTTCCGGAGCGTAAAAACTGGCGACGCAGCTCTCAACGTGGGAGCTGGCTGAGGTGCCGAGCTCATGACTTTTTCCTCTCCTCTATCATTGGCACATTGCGCTGTCTCGCCGCTAATTATATTCCTCTCTATATAATAATTTCGACTTGCGTGAGGCTCCCGGCTCCTCTCGGCGCTAAACGCTGGGGTGGAGACCCAAACCCAACCGAGGTTCAAGCGGTCCTAGAGTCGAGGAGGATGCGCCACGGGAGGAGAAAAGCGGGAGAGGGAACGAGACTCCCCCCCTCTCCCCTTCTTCAAAGATCCCCTCATGTTTGCTCTGATTTTGTACCGATTAAGTGATATGTAAAACTTAAACGATCTTGTATGTACTACGAATAGAGTCCCTTTATACCCAGAGTTAAGACAACTCGATTATCAGCTGACTGGCAGCCGGCCTTGGCTAGCCATGGAGGCCGAAACAAGTGCACCCAAACGAACGATATTGAGGGATAAGGACCAGGAATCCTGCGATGTCTGTCACACAAAAACAACAACACCAACAAATTGATCAATTAAAAAGAAAATGAGATTGGTTTGTGAATAATTTCTTAATCTATTTCATTTTGGACCGATGGAAATAACAATTTACTCTTGACAATCCACAATTAGGTAATATTTTCATTATTCTTGTTCACACTCGAGGTACCGCCATCTTGGTGCACTCGTTTCGGCCTCCATGAGCGAGAACCAATCAGAATTGGATTTTTTTTTAGGCCACTTTCAGCCCAACCCTGGCCCAACCAAAAGTGAGTTGTCTTAACTCTGGGTATAAAGGGACTCTAACTACGAACAGACTACTGTCGCCGCGCAAGTAGTTTGGACCGTGTTGGTGATTTTTCCAACGTGTGTAGAAATTAGGCGGACTATACTAGTGCGCTGCCCCTTCACATCCGCAGCCCGCAGCCCGCGCTTCAACCGCCGCACGGTGGATCGAGTCAGTCAGAGAGGTCGGACATGAAATTTTTGACGAAAACTGCAAATGTTGGTGTTCATTTCGTCACATTTTACATTTCAAGGGGTGCTATAGTTGGAAATTTTCATGAAAAAACCAATGGAACCACTTTCAGAACCTCAAATTGTTGTAAAAACGGAGTTAGAAGTGTTGTAAAGTTTTGAAATTTTGTCCGACCTCGCCTATTGACTCGATTCACTGTGCGCCGCCATCCACCCAAGGAGCGTGGTCACCTCTTTTCCCTTCCTCGTGCCATTCACCCTTCTCATACACAACTCCTAATCCACCCCCGCTTGGGCAGTTCGACACTGCCACCTCTTACTTTCTCCCGCGAGCGAGAGTTACTTAAGACCGAGTGGTGAAAAGTCGGTGCTCTCAATCGTTCTGATAAAGTAACTTTTTCGGATTTTGAAAATATTGATATTTAAGGATCCCACCGGAGTACTCCCCTTCTGGTACATTTTAGCCTTGGTTTCCGTGTGCCAGATTCTTCGATTTCGTAAAGGTGTAGTGCAGTTGCAAATTTTCCGTGCCTTAAAACGTACAACGAAAAACCAATGCTCTATGGATATAGAATTAAAAAAGGCCCCGAGTAAGGCTATGGATATTTATGGCTCAAGATAATTTAAAATTTCAAATCATTTTCAGCGCAAATCGTGGTTCGATATTCACAATGATCCACTTCTTATTCAATTTTGAAGCGTGCATCCTGGCTTTGGAGTCAAGTAAATTTAGAAAACAATAAAAAGAGAGAGAGAGAGAGAAAAAAAAAAGAAAGAAAAGGAGGAATCACACCAGTGCGATAGCAAAGATTCACGATAGGAAATACGGGGGGTAGCAGACCCTTATGCTGCTTGCGTGGCAAATAAAAGGGGAAATGAGGCTGATTAGACATGATGATCATGGGTGGGGGCAGAAGAGGAGTAAAAAGGGATCCACAAGAGGGGCAGATGGGGGGGGGGCGCCCTCATGAGCACATAACCGCAGCTCGCAACGCGACAAGAGCAACACCGAGTAACTACATGAAAATGAAGTTGAATAGGAGTCGGGGGTGGTGTGGATGTGAGCTAAACTCCGGCTAATCCAGACGAGAGTGTAGGTGCGGGGTGGCGAGGAGGGGGCGGAGCAACTTTGACTGTAAACTGGCGGGGGCAGGGGGCCAGGGGGCGCGCAAGAGACGAATAATAATTAATTCTGGGTCGTTGACAAATCAATTGGTCAACCGTCATCAATCAAACCCCGATGCCGATACTCCGCGCTCCATTTGGCCGCCGGCACCTGGTACCCAGGCAACCCAACAGCCGCCCGCCTCGCCAATTCCTCCGGATAGGTCCGCCTCTATGCCGACGCGATGTGACCGGCTCTGGGGCAGAGTTTCTCTAGGCAAGCATCTCCAAATATCCACGCTTGCCAACGAAAAAAACACAGGAAGTCAATGTGAGTGCTCCCACGAAAAAAAAAAAAAAAAAAAAAAAAAAAAAAAAAAAACCTTTCGATAACTGCAAAATTCATGGGAATCGGCCGAGTAGAACGGTAGAACGAACCGTGACAAAAATATACACTGAAAAAAATTTCTCGGCGTTTTTACCACGGTCCGTTGGTATACCTTTACCATCTCACTTACCAATTATTGGTTATTTTACCAAGACAGACTGGTAAGCTTACCTAAAAACCGGTATTATTACTGTTTTTTTCAGGTAAGAATACCACTTTTATTGGTGATCAATTCCCGGTAGCTTTGCCATTTTATCTCTGTAATTCTACCACAGTCGATAAAAAATATTGGCGTTTTTACCAAGGTCCAGTAAAATTACTGAGAAACTTCAATAATTTTACCAAGAAAAAACTGGGATCAAATAGAACC